CGCCCGTGCGCGGGAGCCCGCCGAGGTACCGGGCGGCCCCGCCTGCGCCCCCGTGCTTTGTATATGCGCGTATATGTGTACGCGGCCATGGGGAGCGTGTGTGTGGGTGCTCGCCTCGCTGAGGTGCTGCTGCTTCCTTAGGTCTTGATGATGGGATGTGTTGAGGTTTCTATTTTTTTTTCCCTAAATTGAGCTAATCGGATGTGCCATGTCAGTGAGTTGCTGCTAGTGTGTGTTTTGATGAAGCCCTGACTCTTCTTCCTGGTGGCTGCCAGCCTTCATCAGTGTGCTCTGTGAAGCCAGTTTAGAAACCTGACTGTGGTCACAGGTCTCTTCTTTATTTGCCTCTTGGTTGTGACCTGGAAGGGGTCGAGGATGTTGGATATCAGGTGGCCTGTCAGTATTTTCCACATGGATTAACACTGAAAACTTTAATAATGAAGAAATCTTGTGCAGGATTATGTGGCAATGCAATGGGTTACTAAAAGGAGAAGTAATGTTAGTGCATCTGAACCATCCTCTGTGTAACATGCAGTCCTGGTTATGTGAGAGGTCTTGTCACCAGAACTGGAAATGCAACTTGTAGCTGCTGAGGTGCCAATTTCTAGGTCCTTAGAAGCTTCCCTTCATGGCATAGGCATTCTTGTTTGCTCTTGGCATACAGAAAAAGCGGGACATGCCAGCTCTTGGGTATTACTCTGAGGTGTTGGAACTTGATGCAACTTTGTTAAGGCATTTGGAAGCAGAGAGTTTGATTTAATATTCACAGTACTCTGTAGTTAATAAACTTGAAAAGCTTGGTTATTGCATTCATATATAAAGTTTTTCTTCAAAGTATACATGCACATAGAGATATATATATATATAGATAATGCTTAATTTTCTCGAATGCCAACATTGTAGCCTATACTTGTCCTAAATGCAAATATCTGTGAACTGTTACATTTTCAGATGTGTTAATTTGCAGTTCAGCAAAACTAAAAGCTGCTTTGTCACTACAGCTTTTGTCACATATTTGGGGTTGGTGTTAAAGCTCTTCTGAACCAAAAAAAAAAAAAAAAAAGGAATAGAGGAAAACAGTTCTGGTGGTAACTTTATTTAAGTGAACTCAAAACAACAATTTTCAAATCATGTCCTATTGAGAAGTGAAAACTCAAATTCTGTGTTTGAGATCTGGCCCTGTAAGATGCACAGCTCTTCTGTGGTATGCCCAGGAGCAGGTGCTACATCGATTGGGACTAATGGTGGTGCTGCAGCACTTCTGTTCTCTCTGGGAAAGCTGAATCTAGCAGAATAGAAATAGCTACAGAAAACAAGGGAAAGGGAAGAACTGATAGTTGTAAATTGGCAGACCTGAAGTGCACTGTTAATAAAAGGTAAATATAATAATAAAAGCATTCTGTGGTGGTTGCATTTGAAGACCCTGAGAAACATTTTAAACATGTGTAACAGTTAATAATAAATATTATAGGTCCGTATGTTGCTAAGTATTGATGTTGTATATTTCTGTATATTGCCTACTTGAGAATAATCATTGTCTAGTCCTGTTACTTTATTAATAATTACTAAATGCTTTCTGATCTGACAGTAGCTAGGGAGGATGCAGAGTATCAATTGCTCATGTTGAAAGGTTCTTATTATGTAAGGTTTGGTAGCTGCTGCATTGAGTTTTCAGAGAGTTAACGTAATTAATGACATAGATATTTAATGAATTTCAGGGTATTTGTGGGGTTGCAGAACTGGAAAAATGCTATAGTGACAGCATTTATTCAGGCAAATGAAATGATCTGTGTCACTGACGCTGAATGATGCACTGAGCAGCTGCACAATTGTGCAGATAAGGTAACTGGTGTAGAACTAAAGAATGGTATCGTGGCCCATGCTACTCGGTGAGACTTCATGTCAAAATTCATCTTATATTGTGTTCAGCTGTCAGCAACAGTCATAAGCATAGTTAAGTCTTAAATCTGTACGATGCTGATTACAGAAGCAATGTATGGGCCTGATGCAGTATACAGAGTAGGCTGAAAATACGCTCACCAAAAATAAGTGAGAATCCTCAAAGAATGTTTCTGGAGGAAGATCATGCATCTGTTCTTGACATGATGATGTGACTGAAGTCTTTCTTCATTTAGAAGAAAGCAAGCGTTGTAGGAAATGTTGCAAATACCACAGTTATTTGTGTCAAATGAGGAGGACTTTTCTAGAAAACAACCTTGATCATGTGGTAGGCTACATTCATTTCAGCAACATGCATTTTACTACGGCTCAGTGGAAAGTCACAGCTAGGAGCCATGAATATAGGTCACTCAGGATAGGAGACTATGTTTTGGAAAGCATTGACTCAGAAAATGATTTGGAGCTCTGATGTGTTACCAGTTGACCATGAAATTGCAGCCCAGTGTAGCGGCTTATAGAATAAATGCTGTCTTTGGGTAGCTTAGCAGGGTGATGTTATTACTACTATCTAGTATTAGAGGGACAATTACAGGAATATTATGTCTTGTTCAGGGGACTATCTTTTAAAGCAAACAATGCTGACAGGCTAGAAAGATTTATTTTTATTTTTATTTCTTTTTATTTTTTTCTCCTCAGCTACAAAATGACTGTGGTTCTGGCCAGAATTATTTATTATTTTCTGACCAGCTAAAGAACTTGGTCAGTGTGTTTGACCTTAATGGTCAAGAGGTAAAGTACATGAACAGCCCTATGCTGCATAGGATGTTTGAAAGGAGAAGGCTGCTTTGTTTAGTGTAAAGAAATAATGAGATCGATTAGCTGAAAACAAATCCAGAGTTTTTTTTTTTTTTTTTTTTTCCTGCTAAGAGCTTGTACAAGAGTTGGGAAGAGCAGGCAGCAACACTAGAGCTGAGAGAAGAGACTGAACCTGGCACCTACAGATATCATGACTCTGACTCCAGTCAGCACTCTGGAAGCCTGTTTGCTTACATGCTTCTTGTGCCCTGTTCATTGCTCTTGCACTCGGCTCTCCAAGTGTCCGCCTGCTTTTCCCTGCTCCTGTTGTTGTTGCACCTCACTCCAAGTCCATCGCTGTCTTTGCTTTATGCCAGAGCAGTGCCTACGTGCCTGCACTCAGTTTGACCACACGACTCTACCTCTGTTAGCTCTTTACAACGTGTGAAGACCTGTGTCTTGGGTGTGACTTGAATGCCATTTATGGGCAAAATAACAATTCTAAAGAAAATTCTTGTAAGTGTTTCCAATAGAGTATGGTTGCTAACAGTGTGTGAGATGAAAGTCTCACAACCAGAAAAGCAGTGGAGGTTTGTGTGTGGAAAGATTTGAGGAAAAAATATTGGCTGCGGGAGAACTGAGTGGACTGCAACTTCCACGCTAAAAGAAAGTTAGAGCAAGGCACCTTAGCCAATCAATCTTCGTGCTCTTGTTGAAAACCTGCTGATAGACTTTGTGTAAATTACTTTCTCTTTTTGCCTCAGTTCATTCAATACATGATGCATCATATGAATATCCTGAAAGAGAAAAATCCTTAAAAGTTCAGATTTTACAAGGAGCTTGTTTCGGTAAAAAGCTTCACTATGTCCCATACTTCACTTCAGCATACCTTTCTGTCTTTACCAAAGTCTGGTGGGTATTGGAGCTTGGTATTTTAACTTAAAAATCAGTCCTTGACAGAGAAATCAAACCTGTGTTGCAAATTTCTGAACTATGACTGAAGCTTGCCACAAATTAAGTTTAACTGAGTTTCCTAATTGTGTCTGCAAGTGTGGTTTCCAAATGCTATGTACTCTGACATCAGTAATTCTTCCTGACAGGCTAGATACTGGCATTTGCGTTTCCCATTGATAGTACAAAGCAAATGGAGCTCTCTATCCTGTGCTGCTCCCATATGTGCATAGCACCTGAGCTCACTGCAGCCTATCTTATTCCCTACTCTCCAGAGGTCAGAATTGCTTTTCTTGAAAGGATTGTCATAGGGCCTAATCAGTTCTTTCAAGCTTATTTCTAATGAAAACCTCTTGCTTGTCTTAATTGGCTAAATGCAATGTATTTCTTTAATAATAATAAATATATAAAGCAAAGCAAGCAGTGTGTTCTTTGACTTAAATTCTGAAAGCTTTGACTTTCATTAAAATGTGTTGACTTGTCATCCAGATACTCTTGTAATTTAGCCTTTTTTGAAGTTGTATGAAGAGTTGCTGCTTGGCACTGGAACCTGCTTTAGAGAATCTTCTGAAATGAACTCAGCTCTATAAATCAACTTAGTCCAAAAACAGGAGAGAAGAAATACTGAAATCTCCTGTTCTCCTCATAGATTGGTCAAAATATATCTTTAAATATTATTCCATGTGTATAGGAATTATTCCATGTGTGTAGGAATGTGTCCCAGAGGGCATTGGAGTTTGCCCCCTGTGGTATGCAGTGCTTGAGTATCCAGTCATCCTCCATGGCAAGTTACTCCATTTTGACTACAAAATAAACGAATGTGGATGTGACTTTTTCAATTTAAAAAAAAAATGCTGATAGCTTAGTTTCTAAAACTTGTGACTAACATTATGGGCAAATGTTTTTTTTTCTTACTTTTCTAAGCATGATCACTTTTTTTCTTAGGGGAGTTATGTATGAAAAGGTCTTCAGGTTACAACCTGTAGTCTGGGTCTGTGGAACGACTGGTACAGGTTAGATGTTTTATGCTGTGTTATGCTCAGGAGGAAGAGTAGATCTCTTGAGATGCAAACCAAGTTTTAACTTTATATATCGTTAGTCCTACTGCTTGGACAGACAGTACTTTATTTTCAGACAGGAGATGAGCAGAACTTCACACTGCTTTTGTGCTGTGTCCAGAATTTTCTTCAGGAAGGTGTTCTCTCTTTAATAGCAATTCTACCGTTTTATACTTAGCACACAAGAAAGCTGATTTTCAGATAAAACATCTGGTCCTGTGTGAATGCCTTGCTGTTTTAACTTTTCTTATGTTTTCCTAGGCTACAAAATACTTCTGTATTTCTTCAGACCACAGAAATGCTATTGCAGGGTGAATGATTTACAGGAAGAGCTGCATGCCAGAAGTGTAGGTGGAATCCCACATCTTACACTGACTGTCCCTGTGTGCACAAGGCTCTGCTTTTAACATGTTATAGGAACTTAGTGAAATTTAGAACAGTAGTGGAAAAAAATGTCCCCTTAATGCTATTTGTCAATTGTTTCTTCAAGCTTGCTGCTCAGTTATTTATGCCTCTTCTACCTTCTGCAACACTATCTCAGAAGCCAAATCTAACATAGTAAGACGGTTAATCTGTTAAGGTATAATAGGTGTTATAGCTTAAGAAAAATAAATATCTGGCTAATCTTTTTTGCTTCCTGGCAAGTCTCAGTCATTACATTTAGAAATGGTAATGATCTGAAGAATTACAGTAACATTCCAGAGTTTGTTAAAGCCCTAAGAGATGCTTTTTCTTTACACATTAATTCTATCATCTACATAGCAACTGAGAAAAGAACTTTGAAAGATGGGGGGAATTGCTCGTGTGCAGTTGCCTGAGAAATTCCTGTGCTGTGTACTGTCAGATTGCCGGAAAAACTCATACCTATTTATAAATAAGATTTTTTTGTAGTGGCAAAATGCTTTTCATAAGAATTTGAGCTGTTCTGTATTAGAAAAAATACTTTTCTGGTATGTGTGTGTCTTTTTATCATGTCTGTTTGCTGTCAGGATAAAACAAAGTAGCTGTTCTGCCTTGATTTGTTTTTGTTAATGTACAAATAATGTTCCAGGACTTCAACATCTATCTTTGATTGTTGTAAACAGACTTCCCCAAGGCTGCTTTGTCCTTCTTGGCTGTAACTGAGGGATTGGGAGTTTTGCTGCTTTTACATGGTGCTGCTTTTGCATAATGTCACTTTTGAAGTAGTTCTGTGTCCAACAGTGGTTGCTGGTAGGCCAGGTTGGAGGCTTATACACAGACTGTGTTATGAGTTTAACATCTCTGTAGTCTCTGGTATTATGGAAATCTGGGTAAAAGAGAGCTGGTTTGAATTCCAGCACCAGTTTCCAGCACTACCATTAAATGCAGTGAAGGAATGCTTACATTTTTCCCAAATTACTGGATGTTACTCAACCTCTGAGTGTTTGGATTAGAGATGTGAATGAGAATGGGGGGAAAAAATGGGTAGAATTTATGAATAGTTGTTCAAAAATACATATATAATGTTTCCTTCCAGATTATAAAAGCACTTAAAGGACTACAGGATTTGGATATGACACTGGATATTCTAATGGTAAGTGATGACTGATCAGTTAACTCTTCCTTAGTTCAAAATTGTGTTCTGCAGTCCCAGAAGCAGTGAGAACTGCTGCATTTTGCAATTTTGACTCTTACAAGGGTTCACTCAAAGCTCTGTATAAGGAACTTCTAGAGAGGGTTCAGTGTAGAGCAATGAAAAGGAATAAGGGACTGGAGCATCTACCTTACGAGGAAAGACACAGCGAGCTGGGCCTGTTTAGCCTGGAGAAGAGAAGACTGAAAGGGAATCTGATCAATATGTATAGATACCTGAGGGGAGAATGTGGGGAGGATGGGGCCAAACTCTTCTCGGTGGTGGCGAGTGATAGGACAAGGGGTAATGGGTACAAGCTGAAACACAGGAAGTGCAATCGCCATGTGAGGAAGAACAACTTTCCTGTGAGGGTGACAGAGCCCTGGAACAGGCTGCCCAGAGAGGCTGTGGAGTCTCCTTCTCTGGAGATCTTCCAAACCCACCTGGATGCCACCCTGTGCCATGTGCTCTAGGTGGCCCTGCTGGAGCAGGGGGGTTGGACTAGATGATCTCTAGAGGCCCCCTCCATGCTCCACCGTTCTGTGATTTTTGAAGCCTTTTCCACAAGGCAGCTGGAAGCTGGGCCCACAACTTGACAAATACAGCACTAACAGTGATAGTGCTGAAGAGGGATCTGAACATGGGGGAGCACGCTGCTTCTCAAGGTTGGTTTCTTCTTGCTTTTGAGTCAGTTAAAGGCAAAATAAATACAGATTATCCATTTAGGTCAGTGACTAAATCTTCTGTCTGTGTCAGCAGTTTAAAATAGTTTTATATCTAAAGAGCAGGCATTCTGAATTATACATAGATAATATATGACTTGCTGACATCATCACCCAAGCTGTATGTTATCAAATCTTCTATTAAAAGTTCCTGCACTTTGGGAAGCATTTTTGTTATTGTTGGAAATGTGGGTGTTTTAGAATGAAACAAAATGGCTTTTCTAGTGGATAGTTCTTTAGAGACGAAGAGAAAAATGTGTCAACCAAGGTATTGTGGCCAGCGTACTCTGGCAATGTCATTTGTCTGCCTAATCTCAGTTTTATGGGAATCTCTCAATGCTTCTATGCTTTTATTAGAGAATGAAGTAATTTTATATTGCAATTAGTTGTGTAAATGACAGGTAATTAATGTTCCCAGCAGATCTGCATGTTGTGATGTGACAGACTGATGGAAGCTTTCCAGTGAGGTACAGGAAAGACAGATGTTCAGAAATTGAGTTCAACATAATTTTAATGCATTTTTTAAGAACATAAATTGACTATATTTCATGAATAGTTTTAAGAAAACCTTCCACCAGTGTTCTTGCATCTGTTTCAAATACAAACAAGTATTCCTAAAATTACATGGAAGCTAGATTTCCTTAAAATGAAAATATTTGTTCAAGGTCCTAAAGTGCTCACAGGAATCTTTTGCTGCTCGGCAAGAACATGAATAAGTTGCTCTGGACTTACTCTAATTCCTTGAGTTGTATGTATCTTAGAAGTGTGAGTTTCTAGATCAGATACTTACAGGTTATAAAGCTTTTTTAAACAGATTTTTAAAATTCACCTGTGATATTTATGTACCTGTGTGTCCTACAGACTTCATTACTTAATAAAACAAGGCTTAAAGACATGAGAATAATGCAAAAATAGAGCTAGGGAAAGCAGAAAATGCATGTGACAAGTTTTAAATATCAAGCTTAAAAGTTTTTTTTTTTTTAAAAATAAGATTCTGTCTATGGCTGAAACTGTTTCATCATATGAGCTCCATTTCTGTGATCCCTCTTACCATATCGACCCTGGATGCATTTTATAGGCAGTACAGCCAGCCCAGAGGTGCTCTAACATCCTAAACCAGTCCATTCAAGTTCCCTTTAGGCTTATGCAGGTATAATCTAAATCAGTGTAATCGCTTCAGCAAGCATGCATTTTTAAGCCCTACTTTTGTGAAATTGAATATTCAAGACAAATGAAACTAGTGAAATACATACATTTACTTGAGGGGAAATAACTTCATATTTTTGTAAATTAACATTTTGTGCTGAATAGGTTCATTTTATATGCATGCACATGTACGTATGTATACATGCGTATCTTTCAGTTGTGTTTGTTTGAAGCAGAGAATGTTTGTAATCTCATTAGCTGTATTAAGACTTCCCTGGCTACTATGCTAATACTGTTTGTAGCTGTTTAAGAGCTTTATTTGAGATATTAGTCGTGATTTATTCCCCTATCTATCTTTCACTGTCTTCAATAGGAAACTGGTATAGGCAAAACAGTTAACAGTTTCAGGAAACATGCCACTGCTGGAAAGGTAGCTAAATCTCTGGTAAACCAATGGAAAAAACTTCTTCCTCCAGGAAGTGAAAGGTAGGTGTGAGCTTACTTTATTTCCCTTCACCTCCCCCTTAATTTTATTGTATTATAATTTTCCTAACTTTTCCATGTTGTCTTTTGTAAAGTGTTTGCAAGGGCAACTATGCATTATAACAAATGCATAAAATGAATGGATGATGTGAATATTTACTACAACTACTGCAAAATGAATCAGGGTATTCTGTATGGGTCAGTTACCAGTGACCACTCAGGCTTTACCTGCTTGCTTTCGAGACCTGCTTACTTGAGGTCTCGAGTGATTTGCTTATATATGAGTCTTGGGTAATATTTCTGTGGATTATAGGGTGCTTTCCATATTGCAGCTGTTGCACTGAACAGATGAGATTTCATCTCATAATGAAACAGCCCCCGCTGCCATCATCCTTCTTTGAGTCTCCTTTGGAGATCTTTGAAACCAGCCTGGATGCCACCCTGTGCCACGTGCTTTAGGTGTCCCTGCTGGAGCAGAGGGGTTGGACTAGATGATCTCTAGAGGTCCCTTCCAACATCAACCATTCTGTGGTTCTGTGATCAGCAGGCTGACTGTGCTCTAGATGTTTTGCAGTCCTCTTGATGATAAGATGAGGCAGCTGAGCTAAGGCAGGCATGGATTAGATTAACTTTAGAAGTGCACTGTAAATCCAGTGGTGTCCAAACAATAGGAAAGTGAAATCCCAGAACCTGTGATAAGCAAAGTGTAGTGCCTGACACAACCTATATCACCTGCACAGCACTCTAACTTCTATGCCTCCTAGCCATTTCATGTACCATTTCAGTTATAGTTTATGCAGGGAAACTTGTGTAAAAACAGTGGAGCAAGGCAAAGTTCAAGATTTTGAACAAATAATACTATGCCAAGTATTTCTCCTTCTGATTCTTGTTTTTGCCCACCCCTTTCTAGCAGGGAGCATCCAAGAACAGTAAGAGCACAAGAGACTAAATCTTTGCCACATTGGTTTAGTGTTTTTAGTTTGACTATAATGTAGGTAAAAAGATTGATTCTTCACCAAGAAATAACCCTCAGATTTAATAAGAGGACTGTTTTCTTCCTTTCTGTATTGTAGTGATCACAGAGGCAAAAAACAAAATACCGAAAAAGAAAAGCATGAGACCAAGAAGTCTTCCATTTCCAAGGAGAATAAGCCTTCAGAGAAGTCCAAAGCATCTCTAACGGCCTCCAAAAGCTCTCCTGTTTCTCAAAAGCTGAATAAGGAGCATTCTTGTATGGAAAACAAACACAGAAGTAGAGATTTTGAGTCACAAAAGGCATGTGATAGTAAAGAAGGTAACAGCAGTGGGTCCAAGCATGCTGTCTGTGCCTCCACAGATGGCAAAAAAAATTCAGAGAAACAGCATTCTCATGTAGTAGCCAATAAAGACTTATCTCACCCAAAGGAAAAGACTAGTAAAGGTGCTTCCAAGCAAAAAAATCCTGAGTGTGTGGAGAAACCAAAACAAAAACTTGCCATGAGAAATAAAGCTGAATTATCTAGTGATGAGGAATTTGAGCCCCCAACTATGTCTTTTGAATCTTATCTTAATTATGATCAGGTTACAAATAAAAGAAAGAGGAAGGCTGCCTCAAGTAAACAGCCAAAGAAGCCCAGTGAACAGAAGAGCAGTTCCTTAACACAAACCACTTCAAAAGATCCTGGTGCAAAAGCAGGAGAAGGTATACAGCAATCTGAGGATGATCAGTCAGAAACTCCCAGTAAAAAGGTAGGCTGTTGCATATATGGGCTGATAGCAAATAAACAGCAGACAAATATGCTCTCTCTTCCACTGTTTTCAATTAAATCCAACTGTATTTGTTGCAAGCAACAGATTGTTCTGACACATCAGCTGCATGGTGATTGCTAATAATTACAGATAACTGGGGATAAAAATGATTACTGCAAGCCAGCAATGTATTATATTTATTATGTATACTAAGATGATTTGGGATGTGGCAAATTGGATACTGCTGGTTTGCAGTAATCATTCTTGTGCCCAGTTATCTGTACTAAGCTGATCAATATCAGCTAAACTGCTTTTTACCTATAAAGTCCTTAAATATGGAAAACTTCATTCCTGACTAGTTTGGTTTGTGAGTATAGCAGCTGTTTGACTGTATCATACAAGCATTTTGTCAGATGTGGGATTTTGGCAGTCAATAATGTCTGTCATGGAAGGGCAGGGGAAAAAAAAACAGATTTGTTTTCTCCTAATGTGTTAAAATAAAGCACAGTATTGCTTATAAAAAATAGCTTATGCCTGTTTTTCAAGTGAAATATCCTAAAAGCTTAAGTGGCTCTTCTGAACTGAGACAGATCTAAGCACATTTATTAAACTTCAATTAGAATTATCTTAAATATATTTTATCCTTACTCCAAGCTTTATTTATTGTGGAACATGTGCAATATGAATGTGATACCTTCTGTCCCAAATTGAGAAATAGAGGGAGAAATAGAGGTAGAGGTTTATTCAGTGATTTTTAGCATAAACTGAACAAATGATGTCTTGGATGAGTCAGTATTCAGGATTTTAAGGATACAGAAATGAATTTCAGGGAGATAAAGTCCAAAACTTGCATGTACTTGCCTTAAATTGGATATTAAGTGTCTGGATGTCTTCCAATTTATATCTTGCACATAGTGCTGAACATCTGCAGTCACCTGAATTTATCACACTTGCTAATCCTAGATTATTTTTTTCCTAAAGGAAACAGTTGATATTTCTGTGAAGTGTAACACAAAATAGAAGACCTGTGAGAAACAGCTATAAAGCTGTTTGCTAACAACCCCCCATCTATTGTGGCATCTAGCCTGCCTTTCCTGCCTTTAAACATCTAACTCTTCTTTTGCTATCTTTCAGTTTGGTCTTGTTCACTGCACACCTGTAACCTCAGGGATGGTTTAGCTGAAAGCCTGTCAGCTGTTTCTTAATCCCCTCTTGTGCCTGGATTGTGGATATCCCATAAAGTTCCCTTTGTGATGTGGCTTTAAGTAGCAAATGAAAGGATGCACCAAAAAGTAATCCAATGAGTAAATATTAGTGTAGAAAAGCAATAATTCTGGTTATCCTAGGTAACCAAATCCAAAAAAGTTATGTATTGTAGTATATTTTAAGACTCAGTAAACTCAAATTTGGAATGTTCAAGTAATGTTTCCTTGACTGTACAGGCCAAGGTGGCATCCCTCCAAGATCTTCTGAATACTCCACTGCCTAAATTTCTGCCGGACATCTCAGTCTCTTCTCTACCATATGCTGCTGAATTTAAAGGTAAGTAGTATGCAAGACTAATTAAATACTAAATACAATGTAGTTTCTACAGCTCTATTTTTTTTACAGCTTTATCCTCTTTCCTAAAATATATATAAGCTCATCTATTCGTTATAAAGGAATATCTGTCTTTCACCTGCTCCTGTGTAGATATTCTGGATCTTGAGAGAATTAAAAATGCTTCCTCTTATGATCCGCTAAATGTGAAAATGCTTTGCAAGGTTGCCAAAGCCACAGACAAGGTACCCTCCTACAGGCTCTTTCGAGCTTTACTTCTCTCTGCATCTTGTAGCAGAGGTAGCATTAGTAGAATTTGTTTAGGTAAAAGATAGGCAGCAAGCTGCAAGGGCAGCTTCAGCACAATGATGTTATTAGCATCCGTATATGTAGGTGCCAAAGGGATTCCACCTGAAGCTCGGGTGAGGTTGCAGTGGTTTGACCCCACTCTGATCTTGAAAGAATCACTGCAAGGCAACTTTAAGCTGCTCTAGGATAACTTGGTAGCAGCAGTAATATGCTGCAGACTGGTAGCTAAGGGTCTGATCTAGATAGTAGTCCAACTTGGGTAGCTCTGAATTAACTCACATAAGGCTGGCTTGGTAGGTACAGTTTATTTGTGCTTTAGGTACTGTCCTGCTGATAGAAAATGATGAATGAACTTCTGCAACTTAAGTCCAGAACTCATTCAGTAACTTTGAAAGAAAGCTCATATGCGTGTGTCATACCAGCTGTGTTTTTCAAAGCTGAAAATGTAAAGCATTTTAAAATTTTCAGGTGTAAAAAGCCCTATCTGATATTTTGCTTGTAACTTCTCTAGCACCTGTGGTAGAAGCACCCCAGCAAGTCAGAGAGACAGTTCAATTCACGGGACGGAGACTGAACTCTAAAATGCAAGTTTATTCTGGCTCTAAAACAGTGTGTCTTTCAAAGATGCTTACACTGTATGAACAGTGCATCCGTGTGCTTCAAAATAATATTGATTGTGAGTACTTTAAGTGCTTTAACAGATTGGCCTCAGTGATCAGGAAATTGTTTATTCCCCTGGATCACGAGAGAGGGGAGGAATAAATATTAGTGTGATGAGAAAATAACAATTTAAGGAGGCTTTCTCCTTCGTGAAATATCACTGTTAGTCAATATGCAATTGCTGACTTGAAAGCTTTTTTTATCCTATGACTTCAGAACATATGTTCTGTTGCGTGTTTGCTAAAATAAAACTGTATCTTTATTATCCTTGAGGCATTAGCTAAGTGGTTTTACCCACTGAATAAAACAGGATGCTGAAATTGCTGTCCTTCTTTATAGCTCTGCATGAGGTAGGAGGTGTGCCCTTTGAAATTCTTGAGCCTGTGCTAACACGTTGCACACCACAGCAGTTGTTTCGAATAGAGGAGAGTAACCCGGTAACTTGTCCGTGTTAAACTGAGGGCAGCACGAAGGACACTGAGCACCTTTTTTTCTGCCTTCTTTGCACCCCTTCTTTGCACATGGAGAACCAATTTGTTTTCAAATAAGCTGTTAAGGCAAATCAGGAAATGGTTTTGGTGAGATTTCATGCATGTGGAGGGCCTCCTAACAACAGTGTTAGGACTTCCATCTCCGCAGTGTCTTTCAGCCCTGAGGTCCTGAGCATGTGATGGCCCTCAGTGCAAGCTACCCACTTCTCTACATGGGTAAATTGAGAGCTGCTGTGCCCTGGGCCTGTCCCAGAAACCAGTCTAGCCTGTAAGGTTGGCTCGTTACCTCGGGCAAAGAAGTCTCCCCTCTGAAACTGCTCAGTTTCTAGGCTGCAGGCAGCACCTCTGCATGGCATTGCTGTGGTCCTCGTGGCTGTATCGCTGAGAGCCAGCACGTGCTGTACTTCTGTTCTGCACCTGGGTGGTTGGGCTTTGTCTATCAGCTAAGTGCTCCTGAGACTATTACTTTTAAATCTTTGATTTTTAAAATATCTTGTCTTCAAACGAAGACGTTCACAGAGGAGTCGGACCACTTGTGGAAGAAACACTGTCAGCGGGATTTTAAGAATGAGAGCCTCCTGGAATATGAGTCTTGGCGTGAAATGTACTTGAGGCTCTTTAATCAAAGAGAAGAAAAACTGAAGATGCTTACAAAAAACATCCTCTCCGCTCAGTCTGAGAAACCCAAAGGTATAATGTAATAATCAAGGTCTTCAATTTTCCAAACCCAGTCTTTTGTGCTATTCTTGATGCTTACTATATGGGATTTAGTGTTTTGCTTGCACTGAGAAATGAAGCTGTGATTATAGGAGTCATACAAGCACGCTGCTTTTTTAATTTAAAATTTCCACACCGAATAAGCACATACACTAACACAATAACTAATGCACACAGCATACTGTAGACAAATCTGAGCTTGGTGGTTTAGGCTAAGGATTCTGTATTGCACTTTTATATTGTTGCTATAGTAAATACCCAGACTAGTTAATATAAAGCCTGTATACAAAATTGCCATTTTTCAGTTACTACATTAGTACTAGATTCTAGTTTTCCGAGTAAAGAACACGCTCCTCTCCTGCATTAGGCCGCCAAGTGAAGATGGCTTACATAAACAGTGTGGCCAAGCCACCCAGGAACGTTCGCCGGCAGCAAGAAATCCATGGGACAGCAGGATCTGTCATTCAACTTCATCCCGTGGAGAAGCACAAGTAAGTGTTCCCTCTGGTGCTTTTAACTTAAGATTGGATGACTTTGTCAGCACAAAAGCTTGCTGGCAGACTAGTTTTGAGGTGGCTGGTAGCTCTCCTTACTGTTGTGTGGTGTGGTGTTTTTTTTGTGTGTGTGTGTGTGTGTGTGTGTTTATAAAGGCTAGAAACTAATCTGCCTTTTGTCTTGCATGCTTTTCTGTATGTGTAATCATACTTCTCAATTGCCGGTGCTGAATTCATTCTTCCAGAGTGATCTCCAGATCATGTTAATGCCACTCAACATCCTAGAGACACTCCAGTTGCGTGTTCTATATCTATAACCCTGAGTAGTAGTCTTGCATGCTCTCCTGATTTTGCAAAATCACCATCAGCTGTCCTGAGTGAGTGTTGGGAACTTGATTGTGGGTTCCTGCTTGGCAGCTTGACGGAGAGTCAAGAATAGTCAGTAGTGATAGTCAACACTTACCACTGAAGGAAAAAATCTGATTCCCCAGATGTTTTATTTGTACAGCACAAGTACATGTTTTCCTTGTGACAGATTACTTCGGGATAGTTCAACAGTAAGGAGGTTCAAAGCTGAATCTGAGTTGTATCCTGCAGTCCCTACAGACATAATGATTCTGTGTCTAGGAGGTGGCCTCCATAGTAAGGCATCAGCTTTTGCTCCTCCTTCCTTCCCTTCGCACCTGTGGAGGGAAAAGTGCAGTTTATTACTGTTTGTATAAGCTGCCCTCAGCAGAGGGGAAAGTGGGTGGTTGGGTTTAGTATGTGCTGTGGGTTGATGGGTCCCTGTGCCAGCAGCTGGACCAGAAGGGTTGTGGGGAGTTTCAGCCTGCCTCCATACGGGCATCTTGAGCTGTGGTCACTCCTGCTATGTCTGCTGCTGAGCATGGTGCCCTGCTCCCTTTTCCCCATAGCCTGCAGTGGTGCTCGTGTTGGCATAACCACTGCACAGCTTAGCTCAGTTCAAAGGATGCCTTCTGGAGAAAATAGCATTAGTCTGGCTTACTTTGAATTGAATTAGGGAACAGTTATGCAGGCTGGCAAACATGTGAGCTGACAGCTGGGAAGGAGGATGATAAAACTTAGTTGTCATAAAAATGATGCAAGACTGACTAGTATGGTTGAAAATGTCAGCAAAGTCACCTTAAGGAGCTTCTGTCTTCACACTGCAAGGCCTGTAGTTGTGCTGAGTAACTGTTCATGTGCACTCTGCTACAAACTAGATAAACTAGAACTGGCCTGTGTTTACTGGGGGGAAAGACAAAGCCTTGGAAAGTGTATTTAAGAAAAATCTGCCTATATTTCAGGAACTTCACTTAGTCTAATAGCTTTCTTTATTGGACAAGATGAGGTGGTTGTAAGTGATACTAGAAGGGCAGGAATGAGGGCCTGAATACAGGAACTTCTTGAAATCAACCTGTACAGCATAGTTTTTATAGAAACACCTTTAGATGATTAAGTTACGAGGCTTTTTTCCAGGTTATTGCTATTATCAGTGAAAAGATTTCAGAAAAGCGTTAATCTTCACGCTAGCCTTCTGCTCTCAGTTGTCTTTTGGGAGGGCATATCTTTGTACTGTACTTTCTGCAAACCTTCTGTCAGTTTTGTAGGTTGTAGAACAGCTGAATTCCTTTATCTTGTTGGTTTCATAGAAGCAAAAAAGGTCCTGGGCACACCTGCAGGTCTCTAGTTGAAGGTAGTCGTTTTTGCAGATCAAAATGCAGCTAAATGTATTTATCCAGCATGTGTTAATTGGCTGCAAATGTTAGGGACTGGTTCTGAGGTGCACAAGGCTGTCCTGGTCGGTGGTGTGATACAGAGACAGTTAAATGCTATGTTCCTAATTATAAAAAACATAAAAAGCTCATTGTGTAAATTTTGTCCTTGAGGGGTAAATGACGTAGAAGCTAATCAATAGCTATTTTGTATTTTCACGTTGGGAGAAAAGTTGGGGGATAAATTGGTTTCTTTATATGGCTTTGTATTCCTACGGTGCAGATTAACTTCAATCTAAAAACACATGTTCTGGAGAATGTAAAAGTGAATTTCGGTCAGTGGTCGTATTGTCATAAAAAAGAAAAGATTCCTCTTTGCACTGTGGGCTGACATTTTTGGCAGAGAGTTTCCTTAGCTGTCAATTCAGCTGTGTTCAAAAAGAAAAATAAACATGCAAAGAAGAAACACAGGTTGTAAGAGAATACCTTATGAATCACGGTGGTATTGCCAAGCAATTTGTTGGCTTGTCACAAATTCAGATTATTTAAGACATGAGACTCATCAAATTTAATAAGAGGAATATTTGTGGAAGAAAAGACTAAGTGACCTTCTGCTCTGATTCCAAATGTACCACTGATCACAAGACAGGCAAGATAGAGAAGATTACTGTCCTCAGTGTATTCATAAAAGTCTCAAATTTTGTGTTGAATAGCTTCTGTTTTTTATAATGAACTAGAGCAAATCATTATTTGATACAAAAAGCTATTTTTCCCCTTTTCATATTTTAAAAGAACAAGGGTTCCAGAGATCAGAGACAGAAATAGCACTTCATCAAATCCCAGCTCTACTATCAACAGTGGAAACGCCAGCTCAAGCGGAGTGACTCAGGATGGGAAGAAAACTGTAAAAAGTAAATTAATTTCTTAATATTATCAAAATAAGCATATCTTAAGAGAGTTATTACATTTAGTATTTATGCTAATGTCACCATAAGTCACTTGGCTATAATCCTAACGTCGTCATTGTTGTTGTTGAAGGAATTGCACCAATTATGAGGAAGACTTTGAAAGCACTGAAGAATAGAGCTGGGCGGCGATAAAACCAGGTTATGCATTTGAAGCTTATGTAAATACTCGTATCATGCTACAACTAATGAAATTTAGTTAATGTAAATCTCATTCAATTTGCCTTTGTTAAAAATAGTTATGAATTATTTCAGAAGCAAGTGATTTGCAATAAAAATCACTCTTCTCCTCCTCCCCCTGACTCATATCTCTGCTTCCCTCTGATTCACAAATGCGGAAAACTGAATTGAAATGTGGTCAGTACAGACTAGTGACAAATGATTTGATGTAGACCTGTACAGAAGATGCCATCTTCCTCAGTTCATGTTCCTGTTGCATAAGTTTCTGATGGAAGCACTTAAGCTTTAGTGCAATGACTAGACAATAACAATAACTAAAAACAGACCTGTCATTTTGTGGTACCAGCTAAAGGCATTAAGGCCTTGTGTTGGAGATGGAATATTTTGGGAATAAACAGAACCCAAGAATGTCATCACCTTGATGTTATGATCATCTTGAAGGCATCATACAGACCTCAGAATAATCCCTCTAAAGCTGGAAAGAGCTTTAAAACTGGTGCTGTACTTGATTTGAGCCTGCTGTGAAAAGGCCCAGCCCACAAACTTGAGAATGGATCCTTTGCATTTAAGGTGAAAAGCTATCAGGTCTGGAATAGTTGTCCTTTTCAAGAGGTCATGGCTGCTGCAATTTGAGATTGGTCTGAGTGGGCCTTCTTTTAGAAATAAGGCACTTTTCTAGTTGCTTCATCAAAAGTAGTTTGCTTGCTACTGCAGAGAGGTACTTCTGTGTGCTGCCTTCGAGGTAGATGTTTCTTCTTCCTTCCTTCTGTAGTACTCTGAAATTCTCCTGAAGCCCAGGCTGAGATCATCATGACATCAGCAGGTGGTTTCTCTTACTCAAGAGATCCATGAATCTCTTCCATGTCCTGTGGACTTAAAGGTGAACCCCAGTAATACTGCTACAAAATCTGGCTCTTATCAGCCAGACTTAGTCATTCATATATAACAGCTTGTGCAAACACTCAGTGTTTATAGAGGAATTTTGGGAAGTTAGCAGGTGTGCTACTGTCTTTTCATTTATTTGAGGAAGGAGAGCAGGGGGACAGATTTCCGTGCGGATTATGGGTATGTTAAAAAGAAAGATGAGAACAGGCATGATGATGTAGAAACTTCAGATGGAGCTTTTTCTGTCTCTGATTAAAAACAGGCATTGGCTAGTAGGAAGGGTAGTGAATGTCTGTCATTTAAGTTTACAAATGAGCTAGAAAAAGCGTCTGTTCTAGCACTTGAGCTGCTGTGGAGTATGCTCTTGAAGACCGAAAGGTAAATGAAGGCTTGAGGCCTTCAAGTGATATAACCTCCAAATAATAGTTGCATCCTGTGTGCGGTACATCTGAGGCTGAGAGGTGTCTGAATCTGTCATAGGAGACTTCTGGCAACTATGAAGAATGTCTCACAAGGCCTTTCCTCTGACTGTGTACACTGCTTCTGGGATGGGCCTTTCCTGATCAGCTCAAATTGCTGGCTCTGGTTTGTAGGTTGGTTTCACAGCATTCAAAAAGCAACATAACATCCAAAATAGCAGGGAATAAAGCAATACTGGACAGGTAACCTCTTACTGTGGGGGAGGACAGCAGTCATCTGCAGCTAGAGTACTGGACCAACTAGGGAGCTAAATGTTTCCTAACACTACCAATAAACGTGCATCTAGCTATGTTATTAAATAATGTGATAATGTAAAGTATCTCTTTGCCTTGTTCACTTTTGATGACAATGGCAAAACAGAAAACAGTTCAAGAGATGAAACGCAAGACTAGGCTGCACACCAAGCTTTCTCTTGTCAGCTGAGGATGGACAAGGACTGGATTTTTCTCAGCTGAGGTAATGTAAGGACCAGTTCTGCAATTCAGTTTCTTCAGTTCCAGCAATAAAAAAATAAACTTGAGTGAGAGGGGGGGAAAAAAAGTAGCTTAAATACGTACTGTTATGGAAGGCTATCTTTGCTATTGGGGTGACTTTATCTTGCTCACATGTGTCTTACTGTTTTCAAAAGCTAAAGACTATTCTGTTTTTCATTTTCATTCAACATGTTTTTCATTTCTCTGAAATAATGCTGACAAGTATTTTAAAACATTTACCTTTATGTATAGTAATCTTTGGAAGTGTAGTTTCTGTGCATATTTTACACATGGAATTGTGTTTATCGATGAAACTTGTGGAGATTTGGGATGCAAAATAACAAAACATGAAGAATAACTATTTTCAAGTGATCAGATGAATGCATCAACCCCAGAAGATTTCTGCAGATGGTCATGTAAAGAAAGTTTCCAGTGACCTGGGAGAAAGATGAGCAGAAACCATTCTCTGAAATGAAGCATTCTAGAAGCCATTCTCTCTTGTGTGGTCCTAGACAAAAACATTAAAATAGGCATGCTTGTCAGGACTGTAGAATAAAATACATTGAAACTGTCAGTTTTTCAAGAATTTAGCACTGAGTGTTCAAGAGATTACCAAATATTTTCAGGCCCTGAAACCTAGTGCCTCTGAAAAAGAAAACTATTGAGAGCAAGACTGAGGGGGAAGTTCACTGCCCTTTCCTTCCTTGCAAAATTAGGGATACTAATGTCATCCTTAGAAATAAAACTCTAAACAACACTGTAGGAGGTGCCAGTGCAAGCAGTATTTTGTGTACTCCATTTACAGGGAAGTATCTTCATCTCCCTGAGGACAGATCTATAAATGGCACTTCCTCAAGGAGAGGGCTGAAGAGCTATGGAAAAATTTTATGTAGCTGTTGTCCTGCAGAACTGCAAGTGGGTATCTAAGTGGCAGGGAAAACTCTTTCCACTTCTCCAATTTTTATCTTTGGCTTTGAGCTTCCACTCCACTCTCTCCAATTTTTATCTTTGGCTTTGAGCCTGCAGAAGTAGAGAGTGTTTGCCAGAGCCTGTAAAAGCAGGAAAATGAGCTTTCCGGGCGGAGACAAAATGAGCTTCCTTTTGTCTCTGACATGGAAGTCTAACATGTAAAAGGGGGAAAAGCTCCTGAACTAATGGGGTTTTCAGGTTGTTGAGACCTGACTGGAAAGCAGAATTCCTTGGTTTTTTTTTTTTTTTTTTTTTTTAAATGCTGGCCTCTCAAAAAAGGGAAAAAGTTAAGTCCTTGTCTTCCTGCTACTTTGTTCTTTAACTTTCAGATGACTCTTTCACCAGTCAAGGCACTTCCTCTACTTATAGCTCTCCATGACACCCCAGTGAGCGCTCAGCTCTTTTCTCGCACAGATGTGCTGTAGCCAGCTCTCTACAAACTGCATTTCTCCTAGTTACCTATGCTGGTGTGCTTCTCGGTGCTTTCAGACCTTTCTGTCTGAGAGTTAGATAATTAGTCTGTCTGATCTATAGATAAACACTAAAGTGGCACATTAAAGTATGACTTTTTAGAGCATTAGTATCATGCTAGAGTGGTGCTGACAGCGAGTTACAGGCTTAGACATTTAGAAAATCAAGGAGGGAATTAAATGGCATATAGAAGTCTCAAAGGGTGTGTGCACAAAAAGGCTTCTCCAGGTTTCCTGGAAATCTGAAACTGCTCAAGAGGAAAGCTAGCTGAAGTAAATAACCTATTTCTCCAAGTGAGGAATAAACAATACAGGCTCTGGCCCTAAGTGCAGAATGTCTATCTTCATAAGGAAGAAGAATGATACTTGGTATAGATCCGAAATTCATTTTGCTCTTTATCAGTGCCGTTATAAAAAGGAACTACCAGGCCTATGCCACAAGGTTCTCTTGTTATCTGGGTTTTGATCACTGGCCAGTGATTAAGCTGGCATCTTTTCAGATCCCTTCCTTTTATAAGGGGCATTATATGTCCCTGACAATTGAACTTTATGATCATAGCACAACTGATTAAGTGCTTTAAGAAACGAAGGACTATGTGAGGAAACATCTACTCCTCTCTTTGGGCCTGATGAACTAGACCCATCCAGGCTTTTTGAAATCTCTGTTTTTCCAGTGTCAAATACTTTTATAATAAGCAGAAACTAGAAATGTCAAGGCATCTGCAAATCTTGAGGAAAACAAGAGTTTCCTCACAAAAACCCTAGTTTGGGTCTACTATGAAGTTATTTAATTCTCCAATGTTAGCAAAACTTTCAACCCTAAGGTTATAGCGTGTTCTGGTTCTTTCTTATTTGTACCACGAGTTTTGAGTGGAAGAACTCATGCATAATGCATTAAGCATGTCTCAGTTGTTTGAATAAGTCTGAGCTATATTTTCCATTTAAATCGGTATTAAATGTTGAAAAACATGGTATAATTTTCTCAAAATTATGGCACTTACAGCACAGAAAAGATATTCTGAGGATTTAGGAGAAAATCAGTTATGTGTCAGACCACATATTTTGTGTTGTTCTGACTAATGCAGGGTTTGAAGTACTTCGTTCTTAGTAACTAAAACTCTCTAGGGTGCTGAGTTTTCAGAGGACATGTTCTTAGTAACTAAAACTCTCTAGTTTTAGTTACTCTAGGGTGCTGAGTTTTCAGAGGACAAGACTCTTCCACTCTTCCTACCAACCTTTCTACTTGCTCCAGAAGGGGAGGTTTCATTCTTTATCCAATGATCTGTTGAATAATAACACAACGCACCTTTCTTATGGGAATCAATTAGTGTAATTCTCAAAGAGCAGCACTCACTCACTTGTCACTTGTAGTCCCTGACTGCCACCACCTTAAAGCTTCTTGTGCATGACTGTAGGGATGAAGATGAAGCTGTTAATGAGTGGGAGACAACATGCTGGCTGCCTTTTCCTTCCCTACAGCTGAGTTCCTCAGTCTCAGGGGAAAAAAAAAAAAAAAGCTAAGGTTAAAGGCAACTTGGCTTTAATAGAGTTGTTATACTGTGGTTGTCAAGCAATAGAAGTTGGTGAGAATTACGGCAGTGAAAAGATAAGCTGTTTCACCCACATGAGTGCAGTTCTGAGGATGCTGAGTAGTTGAGCTGGTTCCAGGTATCCTGCC